AAAAAAAGTCAGACGCTCTACCAACTGAGCCAGCCAGACACCCCCGCAAAAGAACTTTAATAACAGAACGTCTTCAGAGGTAAATGAATAAATAAACCCTCAACGGCCACTGAGTTGCTACTCTTTTCTTTTTGCTCCTAAGCTCTGCATCTGATTTCCAGGCTCTTGACTCAGTAGGGGGGTGACTGCCTTTGTCCCTTGGTGTATCGGTCACCTGCTGCATAACAAGTTAGTCCAAAACCCAGCCGCTAAGGACGACTAACTTTTATGTCATACCGTGTCGGATGGTCAGGAGTGCGGGAGCAGTTTTGCTGGGTGGTTCTGGCTCTCCTTAGATGGCAGTCAGGCTGTCGGCTGGGGCTGGACGATCGTTTCTTTTTTTTTTTTTTTTTTTTTTTTTTTTTTTTTAATGTTTGTTTATCTTTGAGAGAGAGGGAGAGAGACACAGAATCCGAAGCAGGCTCCAGGCTCTGAACTGTCAGCACAGAGCCCGACACGGGGCTCAAACCCACGAACCGTGAGATCATGCGCTGACACTCAACTGAGCCACCACCCGGGCGCCCCAAGGACAGTCCATTTCCAATCTCACTCCTTGCCTGTCGGCAGGAGCCCTCCGTTCCAGTCTTTTATAACCTAATCTCAGAAGTTCTGCGACATCACTTATGCCATGTGCGTCGGTCACAGAGACCGGCTCCATCTGAGAGGGACAGTACAGGGGTGAGAATAGCCCCTCGGGCCGTCTTGGAGGCCCAGAACAGCGTCTGAACCTGCTGGGCACCTGGTGGTCAAGGAGTGGATTCGTGGGTGAGGGATTCCGGTTTGGGGCTCTTTTCAATGATGTGGTCAGGGGCACGCGGCTGGCTCTGTCAGAAAAAGACTTGTGACTCTTGATCTCGGGGTCGTGAATTTGAGCCCCACATCGAGTGTAGAGATTGCTTGAAAACTTCCGATAGTGTGATGAGCACATCTCGACACACACAAGCAGTAACTAAGTGACGTTCTTTTAGCTTCGGTGATCTAGATTATTCCACAGGCACGTGATAGTGTGGTGGTCTGACTCGGGCACCAGCAAGAGCGTTGTGTGTTTAGCTTTGTGAAGAGCTGTGGCATTTCATACGAGTAACTACTTTTTCTTGTCCCCTCAGCTTCCCTGGGGTCGGCTTCCCGAAGGTTCGGTTCACAGAGCACTTCAGTTCCACAAGGGTAATGTCCAAATGTGGGTTCAGGCGACCCTTCGTTTGTGGGACTGTCGTTCTAAAGCCAAAACTGCACGTGCGTGGGTTTTCGAGAATATGTAACTTTTTTGATAGTGTTTTTCTAAAACCTTCGAGGTAAGTGTGGATGGGGCATCGAGAAACCCGAAGACGAGTGTGCTCCCGGGCCTTACGCAGCTGTGTTTTGTTAAGGAAAGTTTTTAACTCCGAGTTAGAGACTTCCAACTGGGAGTATGGAAGGTTGTATCAGAATTTCTAGGAACAGCTTAAATACCACTGGGAAGAGCGGATTCAGTATTAAAGCATCGCGCTTTGGGGAAAACTACAGGAAGTGAATCTGACAAAGTCACGCCCTATACAGCGTAGCAGTTAAAAGCGAGGAAGCCCCGCCTCCTATCCCGGCCCCGCCTCTCGCAGCCTGGGGCAGGTCCCTGGGCGGGTGGTCCACTCTGAGCTTCGGTTCCTCTTCTGCAAGATGGGAGTGATGTTCGTGTCCATCCCGGTGGAGTCCTGTGAGCACTCAGTAAATTTCCACGTCTAAAGAGCTTAGGGCAGTGCCTGTCGGACGGGAAGTTGTCCCAGAGTGTCAGCTGCCCCTGGGTCACAGGATCTCAGAAATGGAGACATTCGGGGCTCTCTTACGTTGAGAAGAAGTCGAAAGACAGAATCCGCTTATAGAGAGAGCCCCTGAAGGGGGATTGTAGTTAATTTGCCTGATTCTTCCTATTTCCCCACGGGCCTCCAGCTCGCCAGTCTGCAGTGCGGTGCCGCCCGACCTGACAGGGGGGCCAGGGCTCCCACGCACAGACTCCGCGCCTCCGGGTCCGTCAGAGGTCATTGCCTGGCCGCAGAGCCGGGACGTGTCTCTGGGTGCTCCGAGGTCAGCACAGCGGACGAGCCCGGTTTAATTTTGTGGCCAGCGGACCCCGTCCCGGAGAGCGTTTGACTCACGGGTCTGTGTTGAGCACCTGCTGACCGCCGGCGACGTGGGTCCTGCTGCGCAGTCGGCGGCTCTGCCTGTCGAGTGGCCTTTTCTCCTTGCTGGAGCTCTGCAGCAGAAATGCCGACCTGTCACCATCTGGCAGCAAAGGGACAGAAGCTCTAAGACGCTTCTGAATAATTCAGTTTGGGCTCTCCCGAGCTCTCCCCTCTTTGCAGGCGACAGTAGTTGGAGGCAGAAGTAGATGGGGAAGTCAGAAAGACCCCGCGGCCCTCTTTGCCTCCAGGCTCCCGGCCCGGTGCACCCGGCTCCCGTGCCGCGGGCAGACGCCTGGCT